ATTAAAAAATAATAAAAATAAAATTTTAAACTAAAACAAAATTTTAAAAAAATAAAGGGAATGTGTTAGGAAAGAAGGAAAATATGGGGATCAAAATAAATGTTTTCATGTCAATTTAATAATGAACACTTAAGTTTATTATGTTTTACATTTTGATTCTTTTTCTTTTAATTATGTTTTTTTATAACAATTTAGGCATTGATTTAGCCACCTTTGCTATTCAAAATTTTATGTTTGTTATGGATTAACAAATCATTTCAACCTGTCTATTTTTTATTTTAAAAATTATTTTTTTATAAAATTTTCTAATTTTTTTATTTTTATTAGATTTTTTGATCTTTTTATATTATATTTGATATAATAATGTTAAAAATAATATTTTAATTTTTTTAAGTAAAAAATATTTTAAAAATAATTACTATAAAATAATTAGCTTCAACATTTGAAAATAAATAAATAAGACATTCAAGACTTCTATTATGATATTTTCAAGTGAGTTTCCCAATATAAAAATTCAATTTATATTTCTACTACACTCTAATAAAAAGATTCATGAGAATTTATTTCTCACATACCATTTTAAAACTTAAATTTGGAAGCGTATTCCCTTTGTCATTTTGTCACATATGTATGTGCTATTCACTTGGCACATGTCTCATTAAGTATGGGATTAAATTTCTTAATATATAAAAAAATAAAAATATAGATGTTTTTCATATGTTTTTGATATTAAAAAAAGAAATTAATCATAAAAAAAATGAAGTATCCTCTTAATTAAATAAATTAAAAATCATCTATGCTAATAAATACAAAAATAAAATTATTATCAATAATCAAAGACTAAACTAAAAAATTAAGAGATAAATGTAAATCAAGATATTGTATCTTGCAAATCAGGTTCAGTTGCATTAAATTCTTTTTTTCTGGAATCAATTTTTTATTTAATTAAATGATAATAAAAACAGTGACACATATTAAAGTGATTTAATAAAATCTAAGGAAAAAAAAGATTTTGCAAAGTTGTGTTTGAGGTGCATCTACTTTTGCGTTTGT